CATCCCAGCTCCAGCATGGAGCAGCCTGGGGACACTGTCCCCACAGCCCTAACCCCAGCGAGATGGGATGGTCTCTTAGTGGCTGCACCTTTCCCAAGGGGAAGGTCTTCTCCTCCCTTGTCAACGTTTCTGCTGTTTCCCCCAGGAGCTGGGGTTGTGGCCGGTGGGTGCCGGGTGTGGAGCGAGTTCTTTTCTCACATTCACTGTAAATAGCGTCGTCTGGGGTGACACGGACCCTCCCCACAGCCCGGTCCTGTCACCCAGCACAGCCCCTGCCCTCCCCTGCGCCGTGGTCGTGCTAACTGCTCCGTGAGCACCAGGTTTAACAAAAAAACAAAGAAAAAAAGGACAAAAAACTCCCAAAAAGAAACACTCAACACGAGCACAACGCTGAGGTGGTTTTTGTAAAAGGATCCAATAAATGGAGAGTTTAACTTGAGAGCGTCTCTGTCCCTGCTTTGCTGGGGTTGGGAGAAAGGGGTTGGAACCAGGATGAGGGTCATGCTCTGTGGCCTTAGGGCACCTCAAAATACAAGCGTGTCCCCAGGTTTGCATTTCCCGAGGGAGCAGGAGCAAGGGGCAGGTGAGCTGGTCAGGAGTGTTGAGCACAGGAAGTTCCACCTGAACATAAGGAAGAACTTCTGTACTGTGAGGTGACTGAGCCCTGGGACAGGCTGCCCAGAGAGAGTGTGGAATCTCCTCTGGAGAGATTCAAAAACCATCAGGACGAAATCCTGGTTCCTGTGCTCTGGGAGTCTCTGCTTGAGCAGAGGGGTTGGACTAGATGAGCTTCAGAGGTCCCTTCCAACCTCAACCATTCTGTGATTCTGTGAAACCCCTGAGGAGCAGCAGCGGCTGGTGCCAAAGCCCATCATGTCCCTCTGTGAGCTCACACTGGGCCAAGAGAGCCCCTGGGCCAGCCCCAGCAGGGCCCAGACCCCCTGTGTATCATAAAATCATGGAATGGTTTGGGTGGGAAGGGACCTTAAAGATCATCCAGTTCCAACCCCCCTGCCAGCAGCAGGGACACCTTCCACTAGACCACGTTGCTCAAAGCCTCATCCAACCTGGCCTTCAACACTTCCAGGGAGGAGCAGCCACAACTTCTCTGGGCAACCTGTTCCAGTGTCTGACCACCCTCACAGTGAAGAACTTCTTCCTAATATCTCATCTAAACCTCCCCTCTTTCAGCTTAAACCCATTTCCCCTTGTTTTGTCATTAACTGCCCTTAGGAAAAGTCCTTCCCCAGCTTTCTTGTAGGGGAAGTGTAGCTTCAGGGGACATCACATCGACACTACCACGGTGACACAGGGCTGCTGGTGGCATTGGGGATGTCCAGCCAGGACAGCAGGTCTGAGGGAGGCTGGAAACCATTTCGTTTCTGCATCACCAGTTCAGATCACAGCCAAGCAAAAAGCACCTTCCCCAGAGCCCTGCTCTGCTGGCAGGATACGGCCCTGGGCCTCTGCCCTGCGGCACTGGGATGCTGAAAGCCACCACGGGAAGAGTCATGGGGATATTTCTAGGCAATAAAAACAGCAGCTGAGCTGGTGGTGGGATTGCAAACCTTCTCATCATCCCTGCCCTGGGATCCTCAAACAAGGAAATTTATCTTCCCCCTGCACTGGGAATCACTGGTGAGGCCGCAGCTGGAGTGCTGGGTTCAGTGTTGGGCCCCTGAGTCCAAGAAGGACATGGAGGTGCTGGAGCGTGTCCAGAGAAGGGAACGGAGCTGGGGAAGGGTCTGGAGCACAAGTGTGCTGAGTTCCCTTGTGGCTGAGGGAACTGGGGGTGTTGAGCCTCCGGGAGAAAAGGAGGCTGAGGGGAGACCTTGTGGCTCTGTGCAAGTCCCTTGGAGGAGGGTGGAGAGAGGTGGGGGTGGGGCTGTTCAACCAAGGCCCAAGGGACAGGCCAAGAGGAAATGGGCTGAAGTTGTGGTCAGGGCAGTTGAGATGGGATGTGAGGAAGAATTTCTTTGCTGAAAGGGTTCTGAGGCATTGGAAGGGGTTGCCCAGGGCAGTGGTGGAGTCCCCATCCCTGGAGGGATTGAAGAGTCGTGTAGACACAGTGCTGAGGGACATGGGTTAGTCATAGGGGACTGGTCAGTGTTGGGTTCATGGTTGGACTTGATGAGTTTAAAGGTCTTTTCCATTCCATGGAATTCTGGGATTGGGGGATTCTCAGCAGAAGGCCCTGCTCTCTGCTGTAGCTGGTTTTTAAGCTCTCATCCTGCACATTTTGCTGCCAACATGATGATGATCATAATAATAATAAAAATTAAAAATAAGACAAATTGTGATGTCTTTGCATGTGGTTGGGTTTCTCCATGTAGCACCATGAGGCTGCTCTGCTCCATCCCTCATCCTTTTTGTGGCTGAGCACCCATTAATATAAAGGAAATAATAATAATAATGCAAAGTTTGACCAAGAGGGAGGCCAGTGTTTGGACCTTTGGTTATTGCTGCAGTAGGAACCACCTGGTTGGTAGAAGATTTCTCACCATGGAGTTCACACTAACCCCATGGCTTGGCCTGATTTATCTTCTGTCTCAGGACATTGCCTGGCCAAGCTTTAATTACCCATGGCAACCCGGTCTCACCATGCTTGAGATGGAGCCATCACCCCTCAGTGTGCTCAGGGGCAAGGAGAGGAACTTGTCACAGGGACAGGGCCAAGGGAGAGTAAAGATGGAGGAATAACTTCATTTTTTGCATTAATTAAGGCAAAGAGCCTTAGGTTGAACCTCCTGTTTTCCAGTTTGTGACCATTGTCCCTTATCTTGCCATGAGACACCACTGAGAAGAGTCTGGCCCCATCCTCCTGACACCTGCCCTTTAGATATTGATAAGCATTGATGAGATCTCCCCTCTCTCCAAGCTCTCTCAGCCTTTCCATCATCTCACTGGCTCTGTGCTGGACTCTCTCCAGCAGTTCCCTGTCCTTCTTGAACTGAGGAGCCCAGAACTGGACACAACACTCCAGATGTGGCCTCACCAGGGCAGAGTAGAGGGGGAGGAGAACCTCCCTCAACCAGCTGGTCACACTCTACTTAATGCATCCCAGTGATGTGTTAATCACCACCCAGGTCCTTGGTGATGAATCCGAGATGATTTGGCCCAGGTGATGATTCCTCAAGTGATGGGTTCACAGTTTATGGAGCCCAGGTGATGGGTAAATGGGGACCTGTTTGACCTGGGTTACCTTCCCCATCAGGAGCCTACCCAGGCCATGACAGGCAGCTGAAGCTGCACTCAGCTTCTCCATTCCTCCAAAGGCAGAACTGTAATTGGTAATTGGTCAGGTAATTGGTCAAGCATTGGAACAGGCTGCCCAGGGCAGTGGTGGAGTCACCTTCCCTGGAGGTATTCAAAAAAACATGTAGACATGGCACTTCAGGACATGGTTTAACAGACATGCTGGTGCTGGGTCGATGGTTAGACTTTATGATCTCAGAGGTCTTTTCCAACCTTAATGATTTGATGATTCTATAATTCCAAGGCCCATTCTTCTCCAAAAACATGTAGACATGGCACTTCAGGACATGGTTTAACAGACATGGTGGTGATGGGTCGATGGTTAGACTTTATGATCTTAAAGGTCTTTTCCAACCTTAATGATTTGATGATTCCACAGCCTTTCCCTCTTCCCTCTTCCCACTCTTCCCTCTCCCTCTCCCACCACCACCTCAGCTCAGCTGAGTTTATCCCATGTGTGTTAAGAATAATCTTTTTGAAGACTTAATTACAAGGTGAAATGTGTCCAATTCTATTATTCCCTTTTCGAGTGATGATAAAGAAGCCGAGCTGCTGCAAACGTTGTAAACCCTCCCGAGGATTAATGCCACTGCACCAAGTTCTTCATCACATTAACGATCCCATTTCTCTCATGCCCCGTGACGTACAGACAAAGCAAAGGTACGACTGCCGGCGTCTGTACCTCCCATCGAAAAATCCTTAATGTGGCTTTAAAATGGGATGTGGAAATGGCAATAGCAAATAATTTTTATTACAGAGCTGTTCTTCCACTGCCTTAATCTCCTCAAAGCTATAAACTGAAGGAGTAGTTATATTTTATGAATGTGTAGATACAAGCACAGGCGGATGCGGAATAGGCATGCAGATGCTTTTATAAACCACAGAATGTGCTTCTTCCTTGGCAGTCTTGCTATGCTTTTTATTTTTTAACAGCAAATAAATACAAAACAATCCAATAAAAAGCAAACAGTAGTAAATCTGAGAAATTGGTCGCTTTTAAAAGCAATACTGTTAACTAAGTTGAGGCCCCAAATGATTTTGGGATTGAAAAAAACCTCCCCAGGTCTGCAGTACAGATGGCTTTGTGGAAATGACTCAATATTTCAAGCAGGATTTGGGATTGTGGGGGCTGAAAGGACAGGCTTTTGGAAGGTAGAAACAAGAGGCACTTAAATCTCAAAGGTTTATCAAGAGCACTAGGAGTTTAGCTGCTTTATGTACTTTTGAAGGTATCACCTTCCTGAGATACCTCCTCCACTGACGATGGAGGGACCCAGGAGAAACGAGGGGGTTTTTTTGCCTGTCTCAGCACAGAGCGAGGTGGATGAAACTGGTCAGAATGGGTGAGGGTGCAGCATCAATAAACACCTGGCACTGCTAAAGCACAAAGCTTTTCCAAAATCCTGTTGCTTTTGCAGGGAATGGCCAGGCTCTTGCTGCTCCAAATCTATTCTACATGTCCAGCACAGCCCCCTTTTTCTATGTTTATTTTTAGAATCTTCGCCTTACCAGCTTTCCCATTCCTCTTCGTGCCTCTGAAACACACAAGCACGATGGAAATGGAGAACAGACAGGAAATTAGATCTGGTAACTGGGAAGTAATGGGGAAAAAAATATATCTCTTTAACATCTGAGGCCATTGTTTCAATATTCTTACCGAGTTTTTCTCAGGTGAAGGACTGGGGCACACATTGCTGAGAGGGTCACACAGAGTAACATATGCATCTGCACACAGTTTCACCCTGACCTGGTAAATATACACTCTAGTTAATTTACTCTGCAGTCTGTATCTGCTATAACATTCCAACTCCCAATTTTACAGAACAGGAATCTCCTCCAAAGTATTCCAAAACCAGTTAAAAATAAAATTTAAAAAATAGATAAGATATTAAAAATACTTCCTTGCGTCTCTATGAAGGGGAAGGTGGTTTCTGGTCTCTTTGAATCAAGAAATTCTCTCTCCCTGTGGTCACCCTCTGGAAAGCTCTTATCTCTGGTCTCTCCTTGCAGAGCAGCATGATGTCCATGAGCTAAAATTTCTGCAGGAATTTGAGAACCAGGTCACGCAGCTTCACCCTCAAAGGTTCATCGTTGTCACAGATGATGTGTGTGGAGTCCTCTTCAATCTGAATGAGGGTTTCTGCCTCTTGGAGGAGTACGATGTGACCCTTGGCTGTGTCCTCCACCTTCACGTCACTGAAACCATGCTAGATGTAGAGTTGGGGAGGGAGTAAAAGAGAGATGTTACTACAACTTGGGCAGACAAGTAGAGATGAAAGACTAGGGCACAGTAGGGAGGAGAAGGGGAAGAATGGCTACACATGACAGAGTGCCACTGCAGATATCTCAGACCTCTGGGACAAGCAGAGGAAACAACCACAGGATAAGCTAAATATGAGTCTCATTATAGAGATGGATAAACTATAGAAGAGGGAGGCTAAAGCCAGTGTTTTCCATGACACCAGGTCACTGCAATTGCAAAATCTTGAGACAAAGAGGACAAATGGCTCCTTTAACTACAAAAATGACCATCTGCTGACATGACTGCCTCAAGGAAGATGATGGTGGAGAGCTTCCTCACAGACAATCCTGCCCTTTTCCCTACTTGTTTTCTCCAGGGAGGAATGAAGGAGAGAACAGGGCTCCAAAGATAAGTAACCAGCTGTCTGTAAGTTCAGCCATCAAGCTCCCTGTCCTGCAGCTCCCCAGGAAGCTTCTCCATCAGTGGAGGCATCTCCAGGATCTCTTCTTCCCTCAGTCACCCCATTTTTGCCAAACTGGTAAGAGCTCCTTCGAGAGCTCCTCCCCACTGTTCCAATTTATTGGAAATCAGCTGATGAGTCCATGGAGGAAACTCATCCACCTGGAATGAACTCAAAAACTCTGCTTCCATGGGACACCAGGAGGAAATGACTGACATGAAGCTCTTCTATAAGGACATGACTCCACGGGGAACTATTCCCTCTGTACTCAGCGCAGGGACACACATGAGTATGTGTGTAATGAGTACTTCACCTGCTCATTAGCCCCTCTCCATTTCAAGCCCCACTGAAATGATTTTCCCTTTCTTTGCTCAGCAAAGCAGCACATTTCTGAGATCAGCAGAAATCCATCTGAACCTCAGTTGCCACCAAAGATTTACTACCTTCTCGAGTGTCTGCACAAACTGGTCCACAGGAATGGAGCCGCTCAGCAACGGCTTCAAAGGTTTACACTCCGGCACGTCATCACTCACTCGCTTTCTCTTCTTGCTGGTGGGAGGTTGAGGAGGCTTTGGGGGGAGCTAATGGATGAGAAGATGCACAATAAATGATAATTTAGTTGGGAGAACAAGCACTTGAGGTAGAAAAGGAATATTGAGTTTGTTTTCTGTGACTAAAGGGGAACATTGCAGTGCTGAAGGGAGAAACCCAGCCTCGGGCTCCACTGCAGCTCTGTGTATACAAGCCACCATTTACAGAAATAAATCAGCAGTTCTTGTTCAAATCTCCATCATCTTAAAATTCCAGTCAAATTCAGTTCTGTTCCAATTTCTCTACTCTTAAAAGGCCTGACTAACTCAATTCAAGACTGAAGTTTTCTATTTTAGCATTCAAGGACTCTGCAGTATTTTCGAGGAATCACACCTTAAAGAAGTCAAGGCCTTGGAAATCTCCCTCGGAAAGATGCAGCAGGTTGGGAAACAGGGAAATTCAGAGCAAGTAACTACTCAGGGAATGAGAAAAATGGGTAAAAGTCATTTCTCACTGGCCTCAGAAAAGGGAGTCTTTTTAGGAAGAACTTGAATACAAACTGGGAGACGTGAGAGATGCTGCAGTGCCTGAAAAATCACTGGAGTGTGATCTGGGTATAATTTTGTGTTGCTTCAGAAATTTATTGGCCTTAACTCATTCCCAAGACCCTTCTCCGTGGGCAGGGAGGAGGAAGCAGGGTTAGCGTGTGCAGCAGTAGCTAACCCAGCACTGTGTCCTGCTGCACGTGTGGGGAAGGTGTGGGGTTAACTGAGCACTTCTGGAAGACCATTTAATTTAATGCAGATGAAAACCAGACTCCTATAAAAAGAACAGTGAGGAAATTATTGTGTAAAATAAGTCTGTGTGTCCTGTGCCAAGTTAGTTAGGTTGGGGAAGTGTCAACAGTCGTCTTTCCCAGTGAACTAGCAACTCAGTCCCTGGGAAAAAAGGGGCTGGGGAAAATTTCTCCCAAATTTTGGCAAGACCATTTGGCAGGGATGTGTCTGCACAACACAGAGGGAATTTGCCTGAAGCAACCCAGTGCCTTGAAGCACTCTGTACACTCCAGGTGACAGACTGGGCTCCTCCCAATACTGTGTCTTTCCCATCATGTAGCACCAGGTCTGAACCTGCTGCTGTGATGTCCCCGTGTTTCCTTCAACAGTCAGGGAAAGGTGTTTTTCATCCTTGGGAGAGAAATGTCACCTGCTCAGGCTCCAGTTCCACAAGTAGGGATGCACTTGAGTCACTTTACAAAACTCACCATCTTCCCTTTAGTTGGTGGGCCTCCGTGCACATATCACGTTATTTGTGCATGAATCACTCACATGGTTCTGTGTTCATAGGTTGAGTTTTTGGGGCTTGTCCACACACAGTTTCTGTAACTCCCAGAGGTCCCAGGCTCAGTCAATACTGACAGATACCACTGTGCTGGCTTACCTCCATCCATATGTGAGGGCTCTGGCATTTTAAGCCTAGCTCTAAGTTTATTTGGCATCAGGAATCAGAGTAGAGAAGAATCAGAGTCAGAAAATCATGGAATGGTATAGGTTGGAAGGGACCTTAAAGTTCATCCAGTTCCAACCCCCCTGCCAGCAGCAGGGACACCTTCCACTAGACCATGTTGCTCAAAGCCTCATCCAACCTGGCCTTGAATACTTCCAGGGAGGAGCAGCCACAGCTTCTCTGAGCAACCTGGGCCAGTGTCTCACTGGCAGGAGTAAATGAACACCACAAAGGAGAAAGCTGCCTCAGACCAATTGCATTTTAGTATTTCAATTTTTTCAGTGTTTCTAGGGAACTGATTTGGATAAAGTAAGACAGCCTGTCTGCTGTGCAGTGCTATAAATCCTTAACCAATCTTTATGCCTCTCCATTATATACATTATCATACTGGGCCCTGTTCCCAAGTGTAGTGGGCCCAGCCCAGCTCTACTGCCCAGAGGGAGAGGCAGCATCATGCAGAGTGTGGCTTCCTTGAGTTCCCTGCATGCTTATACATCAGAGAAAGGATCTGCTGAGCAGGTCCACCAGACAGCATCTCCTTCTGCAGAGCACTAATGCCAGGAATGGCAGTGTCAGTCTAAAGGAGGTGGTAGGAACAGAGTGTACACTCCTACTTTGTACAAGGATGCACAATCCGCTTCTTGGGGAACAGGGCAATTTAAGGAAGACAAGTCCCTTCACATGTCTAATGTTTGAGGTCATCTCCCCCCTCTGACTCTCAGTTCTAAGTCCATGAGAGACTGACTCACGCTGATCCTGGTGTACAGGTTGTGAAAGACAGCACAATGATTTGTAACCTCTCTTCAGGAATAATCTCCCTTCCCCTTTTATCTTAGGCAGGCACATGGCCAAATAAAAGAGGGCAGAGAGATTTATTTGCATCCAACTCTGAGTGCAACTCCTCACTTCCACAATCCAGGACAAAGCAACTGAGAAGGACTTCGCTCTAGTGGGTAAAGAGTTGTTGGAGAGGTTGCCTCATGAGAACATCTGGGGTCCCAGATGGCAGGAAACTGGGTGTAAGGCTATTTTTCTCCCTTTCCCATTATACTGTACCTGCAGAACATGCTTGTTGTCTTTAGTATGCAATACAGCAGAAACTGTTGCTAAGGAAATACCAGGCTTAACCTCCAAGGGCACGAGTGAATCTGCAAGCTAAAGGAAAAGAAGGATTTTGTTCAGCAAGTGATAATCTCAAAATTTCTACGAATGCAGATGTGATTTAAATTGGCAGCATGGGATTTTTAAACATGGACTAATGACCTTTAAACACAAACCCACTGATACAATGACAGAGAGCTCCTCTTGCCTGCTTAGCCCTCCTTCCAGCTCTCAAAGCTGCTGACTTTTATAGCTATCAGAGCAGCACGAGATTTTCAAGGCAAATCTCACAAATAACAATTTCTCTTTAATATAACAATTAAAGAGAAACCTTGTTTAAAAAGATATCAACTGCTTTATCAATATTTTTTATTATTAAAACTCATAAGCTAATTCAGCCTTATTTATTATGCTTATTATGTCAACAGACAATGAAAAATCAAAGCCAGTTTCCTTTTGGTTCCTCAGCACTGTGCCATTCAGGCTGCAGAATAGCTGTAAGAAAAGGATTTGGCCTAAAAAAAACCCCAGTGGCTCTGTTGACTGGTTTGCAATTTTTCCTTCCCCCTGCATAGAAACCCTTCCACTGCCTTTTATACAATTCTTTCCTGAAAGAAATAAAATTTAGTCTTGGCTCCAACTTTGAATTCAATGGCAACCTCCCAAGTTCCTCAGCATTGCGGGTGTTGGCAGCGAACGTGGAGTGGGCAGTACTGCACCTGCTGAGACTTGTGGAAGTTGGCCAGCTGAAAAGCACCTCTTCAAACCATGTTCCCAAAGGAATGCTGCAGAAAACAATGCTCATGAACATGGAAAATTGTTCCCTTTTTCCCTCCAAGGGAGTTCTAGATGATGGTATACTGGATACCGGGTGCCTTGGAGTTCTGTCCAGGACTGCAGCAAAGATCTAGTCCTAGATAAACAGGTACCTTCACACTGCATGGGCCAGCAGCCGAACGGTTTCCAAGTATCACAGAATCACAGACTGGTGGGGTT